AAATAATAATTAAATTATTACCATTAAATTAATTCAAATTATGATACAAATAACTAATAAAAGTGTATACATACCAAAGAGTATTTAAATAGATAATTTCAACTAATCAATCTCCTCCAAATAAATATCAAAATAATTCCACATGAAATACTCCTCTAAAAAAATATTTTGCCAAGTGCTCATAAATCATCTATTAGTGACATGATGTACTTACTAATACCCTCAATTTCATTTATATTCATAATACCCTCATTTAATATAATAAAAATAGTGAACCAACTAATAACCCTCAACTAAAACGCATTTAAATGATCCCCCATAAATAAAAATAACCAAATGCTCATAAATAATTAGTAGTGATTAGTATGAATCCAAATATCAAAATAATAGTCCCATTGAATAAACAATTGTTTGTATATAGTGACTTGGTGCTTGTTGTTCTTCAATTTGTGACTTTTGTGAATCCTTCAAATAGTGAAGATGTGCGCTCACCTCCTTTGATGCCTGCAATTAGGCTATACACGCTTTCGGTTCACTTTCCCTGGAACCTGCTGGACATATACTTTTGCTGGTAAAATTGGGAGATCCTTCCTTTAGGAGTAATGGATGTATCCTCTGGTGGCTGATTATCCCCTCAGGGATTACACACTCCTTTTGTTATCTCAGACCTCCTAATTATCCTCTCCTTGTGTTACTCCGCATGCAGGAAGAAATAGAGGACATAGTGCTTTACCTTTTTAAAACTTTTTATTCCCACCATCCAAGTATTAAACTCACATTAGACAGGTTTAAATAACGCAATATCCCATTGGAAATCCTCTGCTGGCCTCTGAGTCATACACCTGCCGTCTATCGTGTTGTGCAGCTCCTCTCCGAGTGATGACGTAGCCCCTCCCCTATGCGTTACGCCTCCAATCACGTGGCTTCATCAGGGGGTTGCGATAGCAGAGGATTTCTAATGGGATATTGCGTTATTTAAACCTGTCTAATGTGAGTTTAATACTTGGATGGTGGGAATAAAAAGTTTTAAAAAGGTAAAGCACTATGTCCTCTATTTCTTCCTGCATGCGGAGTAACACAAGGAGAGGATAATTAGGAGGTCTGAGATAACAAAAGGAGTGTGTAATCCCTGAGGGGATAATCAGCCACCAGAGGATACATCCATTACTCCTAAAGGAAGGATCTCCCAATTTTACCAGCAAAAGTATATGTCCAGCAGGTTCCAGGGAAAGTGAACCGAAAGTGTGTATAGCCTAATTGCAGGCATCAAAGGAGGTGAGCGCACATCTTCACTATTTGAAGGATTCACAAACGTCACAAATTGAAGAACAACAAGCACCAAGTCACTATATATAAACAATTGTTTATTCAATGGGACTATTATTTTGATGATATTTGGATTCATACTAATCACTACTAATTATTTATGAGCATTTGGTTGTTTTTTATTTATGGGGGATCATTTAAATGCATTTTAGTTGAGGGTTATTAGTTGGTTCACTATTTTTATTATATTAAATGAGGGTATTATGAATATAAATGAAATTGAGGGTATTAGTAAGTACATCATGTCACTAATAGATGATTTATGAGCACTTGGCAAAATATTTTTTTAGAGGAGTATTTCATGTGGAATTATTTTGATATTTATTTGGAGGAGATTGATTAGTTGAAATTATCTATTTAAATATTCTTTGGTATGTATACACTTAGTTATTTGTATCATAATTTGAATTAATTTAATGGTAATAATTTAATTATTATTTATTGAGAAGTATTTAGGAGCGCAACATATATTTGTAGATATTTCCAACACAGTTGTAGTTATGTGTTTCATGTTTGCGATCCTCTAGTAATTATCACACCTGTGGCTCGCAAGTCGCTCTAATTCACCAGTACATCCCTATACCTTTTAAAGAAAGTGGGCTCCCTCCAGGCATACCTGCCCTCAATCTATCCATTCTGATGTGGGCTCTCAAAATTTTATAGTGTTAGGACCGCAGTACACTGGGGTGCCGTGACATGACCTCTGCCACTGCAAATGTGTGCAAACATAACCCTTTCGTTTTAAGGTGAACTGTTAAGACGTGGTCAATTTGGTTTGTTGCAGGCTGGCTGGTAAGGAATTTTTGTTTTCTTGACTTGCTCTCATATCTGTCTGCCTAAAGCATTTCATGGCCTGCTTAAAAATAAGGGGCCATGTAAATCTGGTGAGCCTTTTTTGGTATTTAAGTTACTAGGCATGGAGGTGGAGGATATTGGATTATCTGGGTTTTAGTGGTTTCTTGGACCTTATCTGTGTACTTTTATTTTTACTGAATTATTTTATGTTGAACATATATCGTATTTTCACATTCTGTTTCGCAATTTGCATTGATATAAAGATATGGTGATGGATTATTCAATTTATAGTTTTTTCAAACCACCCAGGGGGATGGTTTACTTATCCAGCTGCTGGGGCGTAAGTATAATTAAAATGTATATGTGTGTGTGTGTATATTTATAACGTGTGCGTGCACGCACTATATTGCCAATAGTATTGGGCCGCATGCCCTTACACACACATGAACTTTAATGGCATGTCTATGTATTAATATACCCCAGCGTGAATCCCAAAGTGCCTCCCCAGTAATTCTTCCTCGTGCTTTTGCGTTTGCGCGGACCTGAGCAACATGAACTATATTGCCAAAAGTATTGAGCCACCTGCCTTTACACGCACATGAACTTTAATGGCCTCCCAGTCTTAGTCTGTAGGGTTCAATATTGAGTTGACCCATCCTTTGCAGCTATAACAGCTTCAACTCTTCTGGGAAGGCCGTCCACAAGGTTTAGGAGGGTGTCTATGGGAAGGTTGGACCATTCTTCCAGAAGCACATTTGTGAGGTCAGGCACTGATGTCGGGGGAGGAGGCCTGACTCGCAGTCTCTGCTCTAATTCATCCCAAAGGTGTTCTATGGGGTTGAGTTCAGGACTCTGTGCAGGCCAGTCAAGTTCCGCCACCCCAAGCTGGCTCATCCATGTCTTTATGGGCCTTGCTTTGTGCCCAGTCATGTTGGAACAGGAAGGGGCCATCCCTGAACAGTTCCCACAAAGTTGGGAGCGTGTAATTGTCCAAAATATCTTGGTATGCTGACGTCTTAAAGGATAAGTTCACCTTTTCTAAATTCCAGTGCCCCTATGTACCAATATAGCATTAATGTACTTCTTTTGCAGAAATGCAAAAGCTTTCCATTTTTTCTACCCACCTTTATGTCCAGATGACTGTACAATAAAAGCTTTTCAATTACTTCTGCCTTATTTCCTACAGATATTTTAGGTCATGACACAGGAAGGAGTTGACCAGCTGACCTCATTAGCACACCCCCTGCAACACCTACGCTCCTACCTTCCACCCACTTCCAGGTGCACAAATATTAAATGAAATGCAATCAATTGATGATCACTGTTCTCCCTAAATACGCAGACATCAATTTTTATTTTTCTACCTTAACTTTCATCTTGCATAGATCATTCATCTGGCAGTGTGCTGAGTGAACAGATAACCGCTTATGTGGATAGAGCTGTAGTACTGAAAACGGGAGAATTGTATTCTGACATGTCCTCCAACTTACAAACAGTCCTACAGAGGTACGAGCTAAAAGCTGGAAGACCTGTCTGCAGGAGCCTTCATTGTACCCTGGTCTACTGATCATGGGTACTCTGCTTTCCAGGCTTCAGCAGGGAAAAAAAATAACACATTCTGTGATGGGAGTCACTTTGGGTGGGGGGCCCATGGAACCCAGCTCACTTTGGAGAGGCGGGGAGACACCTGTCTCAGCTCCCCATATTCCTCTTATGTGTAAATCACTCTGTGCCTGTTAGGGGTACAGGGTGATCTGTCCTAATATTGGGGTGGGGGTTGTTGATTGTTTGATGTTATGTGGTTGCATCCCATTGTTCTATTGTGTGTCTGGCTTGTGAGCAAACTATTATGGGATGTATGTGTTTATGTGTATTGGCTTGGTGGGGGGTGTCTCCAGCAGCCCTTCCTCCTGATGGGACTGGCTGTTGGTGTGTCTCTTGTTACTAAATGTAGATTGACCCGCCCTGTGTCATTATGCAGGGAGGGGGGATTGTTCCGTTAAGTGTATATATCTTGTATCTGTTTTAAAATAAACTAGTCTGCCTTCAGGCTTACTTCAAGATTGGTGTGGTCTAGTCTTGTATGGTCTGCTGTGGTGTCTGTTGTCGGTGTTCGGATGGGGAAGCGGTAGTCAAACCGAAGTACCCAAGCGCAGTCTGGGGTCGGTTCCGTTACAAATGCACATTTTTTTTTTTCTTAGAAAATATGCGTATTTATTATTTTTTTTTTTCTGCAAAGGTGAACTTTTTTTCACTTTAGTTATACAATCTTTGTGTCACAGATAAACCTTTAATGCACAACACAGGATTTCCAGAGCTCTGTGGGATATCTAAATAGACAGCAGAGTGCCTCCTGCTTGCTTTGCAGCTTCTGTTTTTCTGACTATTCCTCAGACTCGCACATCTGGTAAGGGAGGAGTCCCTGCTCTGCTGGCTTACCGAGTTCTGCAAAAAATTATATTTTTGGAATAGCATCGGCCAAGACACGAGGCCAGGCTTGAAAAGGAGACTAGAGCTCCACCGCCTGACTGAAAAGACAACACAAAATAGCATGCAGCAATTCTAATCTATGCGTCCAAAAAAGAAAAATATTTTTCAAAAAATATTTCTGAAAAAATTAAAACACATTGCAACTTCAAGGGCCTCACGTTTTTGGTTAAAGAATTGTAGAAGGCCTGAAAAATTCTTTGTGTGCATTTTTGCCGTCATGTATGGATTTTACCATCAGATACATTATGTAGGTTTGTACCCCTATATCACAATTAGTAATATTGGCAGGGGATTGACCCTATCAGTGATGACATGTGGTTTAAATGATCCTAAAGTATAACATTTTTGTTTTAATAAATGGGCCCCAGGAACTTTATGCTATAATGTACCAGTATGCACCACATATCCGACTATTGTAACTGCCTCCTCATTGGCCGACCTAATCGCAGACTGTCCCCTCTTCAGTCTATCATGTATGCTGCTGCCAGAATCATCCACCTTACTAACCGTTCCATATCTGCCACCGCTCTCTGCCATTCCCTCCACTGTCCTCCACTCAGTGTCCTCCATCCTTCTCTGCCAATCCCTCCACTGGCCTCCACTCAGTGTCCTCCATCCTTCTCTGCCAATCCCTCCACTGGCCTCCATTCAGTGTCCTCCATCCTTCTCTGCCAATCCCTCCACTGGCCTCCATTCAGTGTCCTTAATCCTTCTCTGCCAATCCCTCCACTGGCCTCCACTCAGTGTCCTCCATCCTTCTCTGCCAATCCCTCCACTGGCCTCCATTCAGTGTCCTCCATCCTTCTCTGCCAATCCCTCCACTGGCCTCCATTCAGTGTCCTTAATCCTTCTCTGCCAATCCCTCCACTGGCCTCCACTCAGTGTCCTCCATCCCTCTCTGCCAATCCCTCCACTGGCCTCCACTCAGTGTCCTCCATCCCTCTCTGCCAATCCCTCCACTGGCCTCCTCTCATGTCCTCTACCCCTCTCTGCCAATCCCTCCACTGGCCTCCACTCAGTGTCCTCCATCCCTCTCTGCCAATCCCTCCACTGGCCACCACTCGGTGTCCTCCACCCCTCTCTGCCAATCCCTCTCCTGGCCTCCATTCAGTGTCCTCCACCCCTCTCTGCCAATCCCTTCACTGGCCTCCACTCAGTGTCCTTCACCCCTCTCTGCCAATCCCTCCACTGGCTTCCCATTGCCCAAGGGATAAAATTCAAAACATTAACAATAACATATGAAGCCTTTTATATCTCTGCCCCAAATTACATCACCAATCTTATCTCCAAATATCACCCAAACCGTACTCTTCGCTCCTCCCATGACTTCCTGCTCTCTAGCTCCCTTGTCTCTTCCTCCCATGGCTTCTCCAGAGCCTCCCCCATCCTCTGGAACTCGCTACCCCAATCTATCAGACTGTCGCCTACTCTGCCCACTTTTAGGCGATCTCTGAAAACCTCTCTCTTCAGGGAAGCCTGTCCCGCCTTCAGCTAATAATGGAATCTTCTATTCCTCCTACCAGTCCATCCCCCACAGTTATTACCTTTTGTACCACTAGCCCCTCCCTCTTAGATTGTAAGCTCCCAGGATCAGGGCCCTCCTATTCCTCTTGTATTGAAGTGTATTGTTGCTGTATTGTAAAGCGCTAAGCAAATTGTTGGTACTATATAAATCCTGAATAATAATAATATTAGCACATTATGACAGACGTATACCTGTCAACTTAAGTCCTCCAGCGCACCCGCTCATCACAGGCTCTTCCATCGTCTCTTGGGTTCTGTCTGATTGGCAACCTGAATGGCCTGGCCATGATGATGTCACTCTTGCACTTGTGCATGGGAGTCATTTGATCCTGACACAGAGGGGTGCCATAACTAGAAGCTGAGCTGCACATGTACAGCTCAGTGTACATTACTACTGACAGGCCGGGAGAAGCTAGGGACTTTTGTCATAAACACTACCTGTCAGCATTTTTTTTTATTAGTTTCATTCATTTAGTTAAAGCCGTTGAAAAGTCAATTTAAAAAAAAAAAAAAATTAAAATAAACAGGTTTATACTTACCTGCACATAGCAGCCTCGTTCCTCTTCTGAGGACTCCCGTAGGTGCTGTCCACTTCTCTTCTTCTGTGTCTCCACCCTCATAAGCAAGCTTCTTGCCATGGTGGCAGGCTTGCTTCAGAGCTGGGCTGTGTGCGTCCATAGACCCACACAGTGCAGCACAGCCCCACCCCTGATCTCTTTTCACGGGATTTGACTGACAGCAGCATCTTCCAATAGCTCCCGTAGCAAAGCCTGTGACAATGGGGAGAGACAAGATGCAGCCGGGCACAGCAATGGATTAATATGGGCAGCACAGTGGCTAAATGGTTAGCACTTCTGCCTGGTAGTACTAGGGTCATTGGTTCAAATCCCAACCACGGCACCACCTGCCTGGAGTTTGCATGTTCTCCCTGTGCCTGTGTGGGTTTCCTCCCACACTCCAAAGACAGGCTGGTAGGTGAATTGGCTCCTGTCTAAATTGTCCCTAGTATGTGTATGTATGAATGTGAGTTAGGGACCTTAGATTGTACGCCCCTTGAGGGTTAGGGACTGATGTGAATGTATAATATATATATATTTAATGGCGCTATTTTAGTACCTGAAATAAATAAAGGACTCTGATAAGTGTTTGGGGGGCGGAGCGCAGCAAATACTAAAACATTTTTTACCTTAATGTAAAGCTATAGGCAAAACTTTTTTGCTTTTTTTCATCTTGGATAGAGAAAGGGAGGATTATAAACCCTGACAGATTTTTTTTTTTTTTTCTCCGCCATCTGTGTCCCATTGTGGAGATTTCCTTTCAATGTCCCATAGCCAGACAGGAAGTGAGATTAAATCCCTGAAAATGAAGGGAATTCCTTGGGGCCCCCCAGGTCACCAGAACTAGTGTCCCCATTGGACGGTTTCCCCTCTATTACTTTTCTGAGGACAACACACAATTTGGGTTTTTCTTTTACATTCACTTTCAGTGATAATGGTAAACAGGCTGAATAGAGAGGGGTAATGTCCTCATCAGGGGCACAGACAGCAAGACCAACTGATGCCGTTCCAATCCCAATCTTCACTCCATAAGTTTTGCCTTTAGTTCTTCAATGCAGGGAATGCATTACGGTACAAATCTTTGTTTTAAATCAGCACAAGGGACAGTACACTGAATCAGGTAAATCCCTTGTGCTGGTGGCTGCTCCTTTAGTTATTATTTGGGGTGCTCGCCATGGGAGACTATATATCTGAATCCCTGAAGAAGGATACGGTGTGTGCTCCCCGAAACGCGTTGGCTGTAGCACCTGAGATGCATTTGGAATAAATCCCTTTTTCAGACTCTTTGGTGTGGAGCTTCGATTTTCACACTCGATTATATCTTCCCTCTGCTGTTGTCAGTCATCCTAACACATAGACTAGGATAGCACAGACACTGAACCCCTCAGCATGTTGAAGTCGGGGGGATGGTAATTTGGATAAAATCACCTTCAGCTGCCAGACTTGTAATCCAGTATAAAGTACCCACACAAATCAAAATGGGTACAGACCACAACCTGATACAAAGGAAAGGTACATCAGGAGTTCATCCAGCCCATTGGGGACATTTCCAGCATTTCCAGAGCTCAAGAAAAATGTGACAAGTTATTATATTTAGAGATTTGAGCATTAGACTGGAGTTCCTCTTTAAAGCTCAACTTCTTTTATACCTTTGTAATTTTATTATGCCATTGTGTTTGGGTAGTGCCTGTGATTGGCTGGTTAGGTAGTGATAGAGCAGGAGTCTCCAAACTTTCTAAACAAAGGGCCAGTTTAGTGTCCTTCAGACTTTAAGGGAACCGGACTGTATCCTGTGGAAGTAGAAAATGCCCCGGTGTCAGTGGGAGTAAGCAATTCCTCAGACTTTGTGGTCAGTAGGAGTAAAACTGACATTCTGCATGTGGTTAGTAGGAGGAAGGATAATGCTCCGTCATTGGTATTGGTGGGAAGAATGGCGCCAAGTCAATGATGTCAGTGGAAGAAATGTTGTCCCATCATTGGTGTCAGTGAAACAAATAATGCCCCACTAATGGGGTCTGTGGAAGGAATAATGTCCCACTAATGGTGTCAATGGAAGGAATAATGCCCCACTAATGTCTGTGGAAGGAATAATGCCCCACTAATGGTGTCAATGGAAGGAATAATGTCCCACTAATGGTGTCAATGGAAGGAATAATGCCCCACTAATGTCTGTGGAAGGAATAATGCCCCACTAATGGTGTCAATGGAAGGAATAATGCCCCACTAATGATGTCTGTGGAAGGAATAATGCCCCACTAATGGTGTCTGTGGAAGGAATAATGCCCCACTAATGGTGTCTGTGGAAGGAATAATGCCCCGCTAATGGTGTCAGTGGAAGGAATAATGCCCCACTAATGGTGTCAGTGGAAGGAATAATGCCCCACTAATGGTGTCAGTGGAAGGAATAATGCTCTACTAATGGTTTCAGTGAAAGGAATAATGCCCCACTAATGGTGTCAGTGGAAGGAATGGTGCCTCAACTTTGTTAACAGTGGGCGAAATAATGCCTCATATGAATGGAAGGAATAGTCACCCAAGGGCTGGATAAAGGCAAGCAAAAGGCCACCATTTGGAGACCACTGCGATAGACAATCAGTGGCACTTTGCCTTCCTGCCTGATAACAGCAGCCAATTATATGGGGGGGGGGGGGGGGTAAAAGAAGCCGAGAAGAAGTAAATCTTTAGGTTAGTTAACCTTAAGATGTGCATTTTAGTATCCAGAATGTAACTCTCATCACACAAACCTTGTCCAATGGTTTTCTTCCAGCGGATCCTCCAGACAATATTTATCCCGCTGCCATAGGGGCTGGGTTTGCAGGCATGGTGGTGGCCGTTGTAGCCAGTCTCCTGGTGTTCCAGTACATTGCCAGAAACCGCCAAAACCACCCACGTAAGTGTCGTCTTCTGGAAAGTCACGGATCCCATCTATGTACTATGTAACTGTGGCATGTTCTGCCCCCCACAAACAGAGGGCTCGCCCCAGGTCTTGGTTTGAACCCACAATCTATTAGGGAGAGGGTTCAGTATTTGGTTCAGGGACATCCTAAGATTGAGCACACAGCTGGATCTGCCCGACGCTCTCCCTCGTCCTGATTTTCAGTCCACTTCACAGAAACGCACTGCAGTCCATATAACATGATTTCCTATGGATCTACTTCACATCTGTGTGTTTTTTGAACTGGTCCATTTTTTGGAAAGGGTCAGTGACTTTTTTTTTCTCTAACGCTGAAAAATGCGGTAAATCGCAGCAAACCGGCATTTTTGGAATTCTTTTAGACCAAAAAAATAGTTTTTTTTGTTAAAAAAAAACAAAAACGCTGCTAAACGCTAATGAAAAAAAAAAAAAAAAACTCATGTATTTAACCTCTTCATGCTGGCCGACCGCAAATGTACGGCCTCCCGGCGTCTGGGCCTAGACTCCGAGTGGCCACACATTTGCGTTCTATTAAAAAAGGACATATGTGCTGAGAGCGCGCTCCCGGCACACATGTCCGGTACTCACGGAAAGGTCCCGATCTACTCTTTCGATCGGGACCTTTCCCGATCATGTGATGGCGCGTCACGGCGGTCACATGCCCCGCATCCCGGCTTCTGAAACTCTTAAAGGGCCTTGAGGCGCCAGGATGAAGGAGTTAATGTCACTTTACACAGCTAACGTTACCAGTGTTATTAATACGCCCCGTGTGCATGAAGCCTTACCGTGTTTTGCCGCGTTAGAGCATTTTTTTACAGCTAAAAAAAAAACTCCTCTAGAAACCCACTAGTCCTGGGGGGTTTGTTTACAGCACAAAAACATCCCAGCCAAAAAACGTTGATTCCAGTCTGTGTGTATGGACACACAGGATAACATGCTGGGGGGGTTTACTGGCTGTAGAAAAAAATGTAAAAAACCAAAAACAGCCGCTGTAAAAACGTCCCGTGTGCATGAGGACTAAGTCTGTTGCTTTTGAATTCTGTGGGCCTCCCAACTCACAGAACACACAGAAAGCAGACATGTATTTTTCAAGATGTGCTGCACTGCAGATCAGAGATGGGAACAATCACTTGTTTATAGGGAGCTCAGACACATGCGATGTGGAG